CATCGTGGTAAATGATGGTACAACTCTTCTTAACACGATTCAACTGTTGAATTGTATGATATGTGAACCATATGCCAATAAAACTGTTAAAAATTACATCATCCTAAGGGAAATTACCAAAAGCTGACACAGGACATTTCTGGTCACATCTCATCAGTCAGGAATTGGTCCCACAGGCACACCAGTGTCCAAAGGAGTCTGAGAAACATAGTGTTTAGATGGCTGTTTCTCCATCTAAGATTATATAGGCAGTAGGGGTAATAAAGTACAGAGGAAAAAGCAGTACTCTCCATTATAAAATCCATCATTAAAAAAAATTAATTTGTCACTGTTGATGCTATTTTAAAATATATAAATGCCTGAGCTACAAGCAACCGCAGAATCCACGACGGACGAAACAGATTCATTTTCATATGTGTTGGTAGGTGTCTTTATAAATCCAGAGCATTACAATGAACTTTAACTTTTTCTTAATGTAGCCACTTTCAGAGACCTTAATGATCTCAATTATCCTTAAGGCTCATAACACGGCTTTACTGTTATTGCCAGTTTTTTCTATATTTCTGCAGAAACACCTACAAGTAAGCAGAAGCAATGGCTGGCTGCACTTTAACTTTTGACATCAGTAGTCAAGATCAGAGCAAACAAAATTTGTTCAAAGGCAAAAGAAAAATTATTAAAAGAAAAAGCATCACTCAAACCACGGGAAATTCAAAGTGGGAAAGTATTTAGCAGACGATATGCAATGAAGATCAACAGGCTGCCGCCTAACAAAAAGGACCAGACTGCAGTAAAGTATTGAAACAAAAAGCTCAAATTTATCAACTATGAATCCTAAAGGAAATGCTGCCAGGAAATGCGTTCATTTCTAGTAGTTTGCATGATGCGATACATTGTATCCTATATCCATTTCATGAAAATCCATTTCTTGTTCGCTCTCTTCATCTCCAGCTCCTTCCCTTCCTTTCCCCTCTGGCCCCCCTTCCTCACTTCTTTCTCTGTATTCTGTCTACAAGTGTTCACAATCAATTTAAAGTAGCTGTCAAATATGGCGCGAGATTAAAGTCTCAGATAAATTCTCACTTCACTAAGTTTGAGTGGCTTAGAGGCTTTCTTTCATAATTTTATCAAAACTTCCTTTATATAGCCTTCGCCAGAGTGGACTATGCTAGGTAAAGAGATTCAGAAAACAAACAAAAAATTTTAATCCTTATTGCTCTCTCTTCTGAATAATTATTCAGATTTTAAAAACTGTTTGCATCCACAATTCTGCAATGTAATGTGGTAGAAAAAGCATCGGGCAAGCAGTTAGCTAGAGAGATAC